GCCATAAATTCTTGTGGTGTAGAGATAGGTAATGACGGTCTGCCAGATCGTCGAAAAGTGCAAAGAAGCTCTCGAGCAATAGAACCACTGTTCTAGAGGCTACTCATCAATACAATCGTCCATTTCCACGATCCACAACACAGGCTTTTTGTACCTCTCGAGGCTCTTTCTCATGAATTTTTACCCTCATTTCCACTATAAAATACCGCTACAAACTGAGCACAATGATCCGAAGTGACTCTACTACGAACTAACTGTTCGTTCAGCTCGCGTTTTTATTCCCGATTTTTTTCATTTCAGTCTAATCAATCTTAGTTGTGTGATTAGTCACGTATGTTATTTGCGCAAATAGTACCTAATTTATGTGAAATTAAAAAATTTAGCACATTCATGAAGTGAAGCTGAACTCTTTCCCAAAGCTTGCTTTTATCAGAGCCATCTTTGCGCTTTCTTGTCATTTTCGGGTACTTTGATATCATAGATTTCGCATTCAGCAAATTTGTTGTCCAATGATGTTGCTCACTGAATGATATGATTTCATAAGGCACTTTATTAAGTCGTTTTCTTCACGTCTTTAATGAAAAATCCTTGCGAATGTTGCGTTTTTCAATCGAAATTTGGTACAGTGAGATGGTTGAAGTATTTTCGTTCCTCTTCGTTGTTGATGTATTTATCGGCCTGTCGAATGCGTTTCTGGAATATAATCTAATGACTTGTTACTTCCAATTGTTTCAGCTGCTCAGTGGTCAGACTGAACAATAGGACGTGGTGGTCAGGTCGATCCGAAAGATGAAAGAGATCACCAAATTTTCGCAACAAACAATGGCCACGCATGTTTTCGCAGAGGCTAGTTGTATTACCACTTCATCTTTTTTCTTTTTGCATTACTTTTTGCTTAGTCCTTAGTTTTACAAAATAGGCGAAAACGGTCGCTGAATGTTTTTTACATATTGATCCATCCATTCATAGTTGGATGAGAGGCAGAGACACTGTATTTCCTAACTCTCTTGTAGGTGTTCGGGTGCATAGAGGCCGGGAGAATGGGCTGATAACCCAAGGAGCAATCCTATCCCGGTACCGGGTGAACCCGGCATTCGTACCGTCAAACTTCCATGTTTTCATGGACAGCGGCGGGGGACCTCGGGTGTTATGGAAATGTGGTATCTGTATCTTTGGCCAATCAAACAACAAATCAAGAGAATAAGAATCATTTTGTGACCATTTTCTTCTTTTTCATGTACTTAACAGTGTTCAGTTTGCTATATTCAAAGGTTATAATATTCACTTTGAAATAAAGTGTAAATGTTTGAATGAGCAGTTACGTATTTATTGAGTGAAGCGAGACGAGACGTATCTGTTATTTGCGATCACGTAGATGTGGTTCTGCGTGAACTATATTTGACCGAGTAGTAGTGACGCTAATGATAAATGTGGTATTTGCTGTTGTTTCAGTTATGGTTTTGCTCTGCTTATACTCGGTAAATGATCAAGGATATCTACCGGATATACACTGTGATGCTTTTGATGATGTTGTCTTGAGGGCTGGATAAATGCATATGCTAGCAACAAAATTAGGAAGCATTCAGAAGTGGTTGGTGGGTCAATTGCCAACTCTTGAATGAACTGCAGTTAATCAAATAATGAAGTCGTATGTGTTTCAAATGATGAAACTTTTTGGGAAAATCTTTGATGTTGATTGACCCATGGATGGTGCGTCAACTGCTAGTATCTGGTATTTGGTAAATCTGTTCTGGAATTTATGCACACCGATCAACTTACCCATCAACGAAGTTGCATTTTATTTATTCGTTTTGTCAATGATTTACATACCTGGAAAGGAGATAATGATTAGTGTTCGATTATCAGTCGCAGCAACATACAAACGATCAAAAATCGGGAAACTTAGGCGGGGCACTATGACACCGGGGATAGCAGTAGACGTCAGCAAATTGAAAGATAACGAATCACGTTCGGAAGATGTAAAAGGTAGAACGACATAAAAGAGAGTAAAAGTCATTTAGTGACGTTTAAATGAATGAAATTATCAAAGCTATGAGTTGAAGGTGGTGAAATTGATAAAGTGTTATCGTGTGATTATTGTTTGAATTGAATTATTCACTTGATACAATCTGAACTGAATTGACGAGCAAGAAGAAGACAAGACCACACCCATCTAAGAAATAATTTTATTATGCTTTCAATGATGGGTGTATATTGATCGGTGTAGCAAGACAAATGGGCAATTTTGATTTTCGTGCGACACGTTTACTTCATTAAATTTTTGTTCGTTTAAGTTTTGGTTTTAATTCTTCGTCACACATGCGTATTCCTTTTGATCAGCATTCTATTTACCAACCTCGCAGAACTTCAGTTTTATTTTTTCCTTAAAAGCAATTTTTTCTGTGAATCTTGTTATTTTGACTTAAATTTTCCACTTGCAACACAAGTTTATTGAACAAGTTGTCATCCCATTTTTACATTTTTCGCGAGCTCTTTCAAAATGATTCGTCGTTCGTTGATCGATGTCAAACTTGTTGCCATCAGCATTTTTGATTGTAATGAGACAGTCTCCGATAATAATTCATTGTCTTCTTAATATCCCGTTTTGCAGTTCATTTTCACGTTATCGACGAAAGTCTTTAAGTGTCATCAGCTTGTTACTTTACTCTTTATCAGTTATGCATGTCAACTAATGCAGCATCGTTCTTTATGGGCATGATTGTGATAAGCTTCATCTTTTATCGATGCTTTCATGCGCAATGACATTATTTTATGCAGTGATAAGGTGCAGTATGGTGTGACCTGATCTAATTTGTTTGCTTGAATGGCTATCATTGAACTCTATTATCCTCAATGTCGCAATTATTCGCCTTTCAAATATTTTTCTTCGCCCATTGTTATCATCATTTTCATCGTGCGGTTTCGACCAGGATTGTTCATTCATTCTTCTGCAAGAACTAAGTCGTCATTAATCCATTCAACAAAAAACAACCTTCATCAATATTTTTGACTTTAATACTCGTGCTCGTTTTTTGAATTTCGGACTGACTTGCTCTCAGGAACATGTGCATAATCCTAATTTCTCGCAATTTTTTAAGAGGTAAGGAAATTAAAACTGTTCGTACGTGTTACGATGGATCATTCAAATACCTTATTTCTTTGAATGTCATCAATCTTCTCCCACTTACAAATTGTTTAAAAACCGTTCCTTGTTCTCGTCGTACTTCTTTTAAAGAAATACGACGAGAACAAAGTACGGTTAGAAGTTAAATGCAGAACAAAGTTAGTATTATCGTGTCTGTAATATTCAGTTTGGAAGTTCAATGCACGTTCTGTTGCGGCAGTTGAACTTTCTAAAATTGATTCTAATTTTTTAGAAATGTATATTATCATCGTTAGTGCCGTATTATTATCACCGTTCTTATGAAAATTACTGTTGAGCATGGTGTGAATGCATTTTTCGTTATTCAGATAGTAACATGCCTTATTAAAATGTGCTCTTTCAGTTTGGTACGGATCACATGACATCGTAATTGTTACTTTTAATAAGTATTCATTATTGATGAATTAGTGAATTCAGTTGGTTTATGCGTCATTAATAAAGTGGATGTATGAATCAGTATGCAAGAAATATCGATAGCCATCGTTCAGCTGCGTCAATCGGCACTTACGACGAATAAAATCACAAATAAAATTAATAATAGATTAAAATCGCAACCGTCTGAGAATGGCATATTAACGGCAAATGATTACGATATTCTGCTCATAAATGAACCATCTTCATCATCACGTGTTTCGAATCGTCTTCAGTTACCCTCCACTCGTGTCCCTCACAATGGACAGCCAGCCGAAGTAGCTCTCAATGCAGTTCGACATTTCTATACGATGTTATTTTTGATTTTCATTATTTTTTAAAATTTTTTATCTATGCGTTTGTTTATCTGTTGATTTCTCATCGTTTTGTTAAATTCATGTCTTAGTTATGATTCATATATTCGCATAGCTAAAATTATGTTTTTTACCACATTTTCATCTAGTCCATTCATTCCATTTCATTCTCGCATACTGAAGAATGGCTTTTTAATGCATGACTAATGTTGTGACCATAGTAATGTCTTTTCTTACCATAAACATTATTCATTAAGGTCACAGTTTGGTAACTACGGTCTTATTTGCAATTATCGCTACCAAGTTGTGAATAATTTCAATCTCAGGAGAATACCGCGTCGTGCAGTTGCCATACCGTTGTGGGATAGTGCAGGCTCGAACGCAAATACCAAGGAGAGCCTTTTGTTTCCTGGCTCGCCACATCCACTTTTTTATTGTGTATCTGTCTTAGAAATGGGTGAGCCTTTTGCTCTATTGTTGAGTTCTTTTCAGCTGACCTTCATTCGTTCGGTCATTTAATTCTTCGAATGATGTTGAGTTTTGATGATTCAAATTGTGAATATCACTATTCAGTTCGTTGCATTATATGCTTATGTGGCCTTTTAATTGTTCGCTTATTTGAATGCTGTCTTTCTCGTAGATAAAAATCCGAAAAAATGCACAGAAATGGGTCATTTCGAGAACTTGGCACATCTGCTGAACTGCTGTATGAGTGATAATGAGGTGTTCAATGCTGAAACAATGCATCTAATATGTCGTCTCGAAGAGTTTGTTAATTTTTGCTATTTTGAACAAACATGATTTGCGATGCAATTTTTATATGGCATTGTTCTTTTCTTTTTTTTCCGAGATGCATGAAAAAATTTGGAGTGATTTGCAGTTGTTTCTGTTTAGATGGCTGAGGTTGGAACAACACCGTGATGAGAATTTTATTGCGAAACTTTTCAATCGTCCCATCTCGTTGAGTCGAATTCGGTCGTGTGCTCATAATCCAGCATACGATCCCGAGCAAACGATGTTATGCCATAAGTAAGCGGTTATCTCTTCTTTTTTTTCAGACTCATATTTTTTTGTCCATTATTTAATCGCTTCTTGATTTTACTCATTTATTTCATGTGGTTTATAATTAAAGTGAAATTATGTGGTTAACTAAATGTTACAAAATTGAGATAATTTTAAGCAGTTTTCACCTTGATAGCGTTGCGATTTAAAATATCTACCCCTGTTTTTGGGATGGATCAATTCTGCTTGGGAATTAGTTGCTGTTGAAAAAGATGGAAATGCTGTATGATTTCAGTATGATGGGACATGGGAAAAACGCTGAAGCACAACGAAAATCATGTGATCTTGCAGAGGAAGTGCGGCGGAGTAACGATGCGAGAGCACGCATGATCGGTGATGAGAAGTACGATATGTTCATCATGAATCCACTCTTCGGCTCTGGTCTACCATACAGTAAAAAAAATGAGGTGAATGCATTCTACTCACCGTGTCGCAAGCAATCCAATTAATGACTTCATGCAATCTGCTCAGAAACCAACCTTATGGATTATCTTTTAGGCACCCAATTATTTTGCAGCAGGACGTAAACAACGGTGTGGAACTTCGTTTTCATCACATTCGGTTTCCTCTGGTGAAAGTTGGTCGGAACAATTCCCGCTGCATAAAGCAGCGTATGATGATAACGTTGATGAAACAAAGTATTTTTGTTTGCTTTTCAGACGAACGACAATTTTTCAAATGGATTTTGAATGATCTTCGAATAAGTTTTTAACAAGATTAAAATTCGTCTCAAGTTTCTAAGTAGAATTTTTCGAAGCGGAAACGAACAGTAGTTGTTATATTAGTCACCACTTACATTGAACGCTATTTATGGTCATTGTAAGCTAAAGAAATGGAAATTCAGGAAATTGTTGGCGAAAGGATTGACGGCAAATGAAGTGGATAACGCCTCATGGACACCGCTGCACTACTGTGCTTTTTACAACAATCTGAAAACAATGGAGGTAACTGAAATCAGTATTCGTCTAAAAGAAAGGAGACGAATGGCGAAAGAGCGAATGAGTTATTGATCGGTGTTGTTGATCTTTTTTGAAGATAATATTTACAGAATTGTCTGTGAATCTATCAATAATATTTAACTGCTTAAAGGAGTTGCTCATGAAAGGTAACCTAATGAGTAAATAGAGTAATCTATTTTCAAACGTAAATTGATAGAATTTGTAATTAGTTAAGTCAAGAGATGATTTAAGGTCTTATTATTAAATACAAGCACAGACGTGAACGTACCAAACAAAGCTGGGTCGACTGCGTTACATTTTGCGGCGTTGCAGGCGAATGCCTATATGATTGAATTACTTTTATCACATTCTGCTATTAATGTGGTAGGTACATTTTGCTTTTATCTTCTATCTATTATTGTCTATTGTTTTATTGTGTCCATCAGCATCACTATAAAACACTATAAAATTATGTGGCTCAGTTTATCACGGATTCCTTTGAAAACGACCGAAACTCTTGCAGACTCACATTATTTTTTGTAGATTATGCGTTGCTGTTGTTGTTGTAACGCAGTACTGTGAGCAGAGATTCATGACCGCTGTTATTGCTTTTCAGAATGCACGTGACTCGAAAGGACAACGCGCTTTGGATCTGTGTTCATGCGTGCCAAAAGCAGAATATCAGAAAGCGGCAAGATTGTTACGCGACTGGAATAAACTTGATAAAATACAGGTGAATCGAATTATCGCAAATTTAGATTTCAGGTGTGCTGTTTTTGTTGTTGATTGCCATTATTATTTCGTTTTTATTAAGTCTTAAACCAATTTATGTTGACAGGTTGAAATGATGGACGGTGGAAATGCTCAGTTAGCGTTGTTTCAAGGAAATGAAACAACTGCAGGGCAGTTACATGCCGAAATGTGTAAGGAACTAAAGATGAACGCATCAAGTGCTTCATTATTCGCTATTTGGATTTGCTCGAGTCGACTGAGTACATTATTTTATTTATTTGCTGCAACATCGTTCACTCTTAAATACATCTTATGCCAAATTGTAGGCTTACAATTAAAAGCTGATCATAAACCGTTACTGCACATGAGCAAATGGCACAGCAAGGTTGCAAAGTTTGGTAATGAGGAAACAACAAATACGTCTACCGATGATGAAACGCCAAAAATCTATTTTCGTCGAGATGCACGAGTTACATTACGAACAGAAAAAGCGGTTAGTTGCACACGAAGACATGATTTTACTTTCGTTTTATTGAGCGTTATTTAAAGTAGTGTTTTGCTTTCACTAGTCATTTCTGGTCGAAATATTCTCTTAGATGTTAATTTTGTTGGCAGTGCATTCAACTAATTTACCGTTGAAATAAATGATCACGTCTGCTCCAAAAGCGTTCATTCAGAAAAATCTTTAAGTATTGAGGCTCGCATGTGTCCCAGAAATAAACTATTTTTTTATCAGACTAAGTTAACACCAATGGCATTATCTCTACTGTACGAGGAAGCTCGGCACAATTATATGAAAGGCTTGTACCCGTGTGCAGATGGTGATATTGCGCTGTTGGCATCGATTATTTTGCGTATAATTCATGGAAATGCATACAAACTAACGTAGGATTATTTCTTATTTTCATTTGTTGATGATGCAGTAATGATGATTCATTTTTAAAATTTGTTTCTCATTTAAATATTGCTGTTGTGTCAGTTATGACTAATGAAATTCTGACTAATCAATTATGACTAATGAAATTCTTTTGATGGGAGCATTTATGAGAGTGATATAAAAAGAAGTGATAATCGACCGCTGGCGATTATAATCTCATCAGCAATTGCAGTGAGAAAATGCTAGAACATGTGATTCCAGCACATCGTATTCCGTCATCAGAAAGTGCTGCCAAAGCGGTTATGAATCAAATTGAAGTGCAAAATCGTAAACTTGATTCAAAGAACAACAATTTAATCAGCTTACAACAAAGTTTTTTGCAAATTTGTTGGCGTTTTTGTGTTTATGGATCAACATTCTTCGATGCGATTGTGTTCATGAAAAAGGTTATTAATATTTCTTTCAGTTATGCATAATATCTCTTTGTGTGCAGTTCTCTAATGTTTGTTTTTGTAGCCAATGAAAGGTAGTTTGCCGGTTCACGTGGGCGTAAACGACTATGGCTTGCATTTGTTGAATTCGGATACAAAGACATTGTTCAATACATATCCGTTGAAAGGATTGCAGTGGATCGCGAAACCGGATCGACCTTATTTGGAGGTTCATGCGGCAGCGTTTGGTCACGATTTTACGTTGCGCACTGCACAGGTTTGTGACATTTTGTTGCTTTTGCTTGCATTCTCACACTGCAGTTTCAATTAATCCTCGTTTCAGGCGAGCCATATAAACAATTTATTAACTCGCTTAACGAATACAACATCAGCTACAACAAAAAATTGATCAGTAACAACAATCATTGAAATTGGTACGGAATACACCAAATAATTAGATGAATCTCACGGAGGGTTGATTTTCGATGATGATGAGATCGATGACGATACGGAGAATGAATGTTTGAATTGGTTAAATGGATCAGATCAACTGAACGGAATCCTATCAAATCAAAAGCGTCATCGATTGAATCCAAGCAGTTTCGTTACATGTCGACGATAATTCCCCACCGCTGTTGTTTTTATAATGATACTGTTTCATGTCCGTCAGAGTTAGTTAGTGTAATATATAAAAGAAAATATATTTGACCATTTTCATAGAAATTTGTTGAGAAGCGTTCATATTGAGCCGATGATTAAACGTCGAGAAAGGTCGTTCATTATTATTTGTAATTTTTTCACTTATTTATACATTTCGTTTGTTAATAATTGTACTACGTCAAATCAACAATAAAAATTTTTGATTCTGTTAAGAGTCTAAAACATTTCATATGATTTCATGGAGTAGTTGTTGTAATCATCAGTAGTCTAGCATTCTGTCTAGCAAGTACAACTATCTTCTACAATGACTGATTTAAATATTATCAGTTTGTTCATATTATATTCTGCAAAGTTTTTACGTACTTTCAATAACACATTTTATTATATTCAAAATTCATGCTTCGTAGTAATACCGTGTACAGTAACTTGAACAATATGTGTTTCATTATTTATGGTTAACTAGAGCATTACGAGTTAGCATAATTTGGTTGTGGTGTTGTCGAGAAGAGCATGTGAGATGCACTGTAGTTGTTGTTGATGCGTGGTTTGTGCGTTTGGTATTACTAGATGCTTGTGGCACTGTATAATTAACCCATTCACTGCGCAAGTTTTGTTGCTCCCATTCAGCATACTCTATTCAGCCTGAAGGAGTAAAACGATTATTTCTTTTATGTGACTAGTTTCGTTATGATGTAATTATTTATGATGGATCAGCCATTTTAAAGCAGAAGTTCCAAGTAAAATGAGCAAATGAAGACAATTGAAATCCGTATTGATGAGGAAGAGGCAAACGGATCGGTGTTGATGATGCTTGATTGCGGCACGAACAACGATGGGCTGTTGACCGTCGCTTCGATCATTTACCATGCTTTCGTTCTTCTTTGATGTCTTCAAATTCAAAACTGAGTTCATTTCAGAATACTCTCTTGAAGTTGTACGTTTTTCTGACGATAACTTGATATGTCCCTTCGTTTTGTATGCATGATCCATCGATACATTCATCCATCCGAACTGCTGATTATGAACGGGAAACCGGACGGTAGTACTAGCTAAGGCTAGTTAGTGGTCAGTCGTGATCCATAATACTATAGTGATCAAGTTCGAGCACTTTTGCTTATCCTTACCGTGTCAGCAAACGATTGCAATTTTTATTCGACTCTGTTCGTGTTTGAATTTTTTATGAAGTTGCGTTTCGAAGGAATTCAATCAAAAAGTTTTCAGATTTCGTCTCGAAATTTCACTGTCATTTCAGGATATGGTCGTTTTATCATCACGTTTTCTGTGGCGTTGTTCACCTAGAATCGGCTTGCCGCAAGCGAGTCTCTCCAAAAAAGCGATACTCCCGGAAAGGCGACATCCAGGTTTGGAGCGGAATGAGGTAGCTCAGAACTTTATGTTGCATATGCGTGCGATGATCTCCTAAAATCGCCATATCCATATTTCCTAAGCGATATTTTGGAAGTACATTAAGTGAGAAGCATGTACTGCCACTTTTTATCTCTTAAAATTCTCGTGTTTTCCTGCTGATTTTACCGAGTTTAAAGCATTCGGGAGTTATATTCTTTGTCATAATTTAAGTGTTCAGGCGAAAAAATTTATTGACTTCAAACGAGTCACATGCAAAGCCGGTAATGGCGGTAACGGAATGGTCTCGTTTTTACGTGCTTTTCGAGTACCATTCGGTGGACCTGATGGTGGAGATGGTGGCAATGGTGGTCATGTCATACTTAAAGGTTTGTTTATATTTATCTATTCACTTGTTTACTCATCTCATATATCTTTTTCCCGTTTTCCAGCCGATCACTCAACAAAGGATTTATCAAGACTCTCTTCTCAATTAATTGCAAAGAATGGCGATTACGGTAAACCGAAAAGCTGTCACGGTAAAAACGCTGAGCATCGAATCGTCAAAGTACCGGTTGGAACGATCGTGAAACAGATCAATACCGATACGGTTTGCGTTTTTTCTTATGCGATGTTATAGTTGTTTTTTTTCTGCTAACTTTTGAGACTGATTTCGAGGTTTGATTTGTTTTAGAATAATTGAAATTATGGCGAGTTTGTTGAAGCGCACTCATCTTGTGCAGAATGTTTCACTTCACAGAAGCTACATTTTGTTGAAGTATACTCCGGATGCATAAGATCAGAAACTTGTAGTACGTTTTGAAAAAGCAATTGTTTTCTTGTTCATAGGCATGTTTGCAGATTGTTGCTGAGTTGAACCGAAATGGTTCAATATTCTTGGCTGCGAGGGGTGGTGCTGGAGGTCATGGTAATCAGTTTTATGTGAGTAACTCGGTTAGGATTCCAGTCAAAGCCGAATATGGTGGAATGGGTGAAGAAGTATGTATTGTTTTTAGATTTCAAAATTTTTTCATCAATTCTCGCAAAAATTCTCTTCTGAAAAATTCCATCTTTGATATTGTTCGTTTTCCTTTTGCAGAAATGCTATGATATCGAAATGCGAATGTTAGCCACGGCCGGTCTAGTGGGTTTTCCAAATGCGGGTAAATCGTAAGTGTCTCTCATTTCTTTTTGTTGCAACAATTTTATTTTTATAGTGGCAGATAATCATGGCTTCTGTGTTTTCTTCAAAATATTTCTCGTTTTTAAAGTCATCTCACCATTCTAAGATAATATTGATTATTTCTAGCTCGTTGTTACGAGCGATTTCAAGAGCATCACCGAAGGTAGCCAGCTATCCTTTTACGACACTAAACGCTCATGTTGGCGTTGTGCTTTATGAAGATTTTGTGCAGATATCAGGTGTGCATTCACTTCTTTTTTGTAATCTAACTTCTCATTATCGCTTTTCTCTTGGTCTATCTATTTCGCTTCCTTTGATGTTTTGAATTTCGATTTCAGTTGCTGACATTCCTGGCTTAATTGAGGGATCGCATCGAAATGTTGGATTAGGTGTCAACTTTCTTAAGCACATTACAAGATGTGAATGTCTGTTTTTCATAATTGATTTGTCGCTGTTGTCACTTCGAGTTAGTGAGCGAGTTTCTGTTCTTTTTTGAATTATTTTGGTCGGGAATGTGGACTTTATAAATTATGTTTATTTTTTTTTTGAGTTCCATTTTCCATAGATATTTTCTGACCATTATTATCCTTGGGTGTTATGGATGTTAATAAACCTTTCTCGTTCTGGTTTTGAAATCAGCCGGAATTGTTCTCTGAAGTTTCGAAACTTGTTCGTTCACTCTGCAGGAGCAGTTTGATTCGTTATGCAACGAACTGGAACATTTTCAAGAAGGTTTAACGAAAAAATCAACGACGATCGTTGTGAACAAATGTGATCTTGCATCGTCGATTCCTCTCTCGGAGACTGATGTAAACTTATCATTAATGTTGAATGCTTATCGTTATTCCTCACTTGCTGCTAACATTCATTCACCATCATGAATATTCACTGAAAGCATCTCTTTGCAGTTCAATATCGACCGGATACGTTCCTCTTTCAAACCGTATCCTGTATTTTTTATATCGGCTAAATATGGTATTGGTATTGAGTCATTATTATCACATCTGCGTATGCTCTACGATGCTACACACCGCAACTCTGTCACTGAAGAAGATGCAAGTGGAAAGTTGATATTGTGATAAAAGTTGTCATATTTATTGGTTCATTTGTTAAAGTGATCATTTCTTATTCCAGTATCTCTCCATAATCTCCCGTGGATGAACTGTATAAAATATATTCATTATAATATATAGAAATTCATGAATTCATTTCTCTCCATCTCACCAGAGTTAATGAAAATGAGATCATTTCGATCGCAATCCACAACTTCAACTGAGTGATAACATGAAGTCAAAATAGCTCTTCGAAACGGTTTCCTGTTCAAATTCATTGAAATATGATAATAATCGGTTCACTTTTAGTCACTGTTAAAATTTCAGTTGTGTTTCATACACATACATTGTGTATTCAGTGTTGTTAAAGTTATACATAAATATAATAGTTGTTTTGTTTGGTATGACATATGATTATGATTTGATGAGAAGCGAAGTATTTTTGAGCTAGCATTGAGAAGAGTGGTAGTCAAGTGTGGAATGCATGGTTGTTGCTTTTGTAGATAGCATTAGTATTGATAGGTTGATAGATAGAAAGACCGCTCTTTGTACGTTCGTTCGTTTTGTATTTGTATCATGAAATGACAGGAGTCTTGTTCACTGACTTGTTTGTTTATTGTTACATTTTCAACTCTTGACACTTATTGATTCAGCGATTTTGAATGTATCTTTATTCATTGTTATTGTTATTATTATTGTTGTTTTCACCATATAATTTGGCTCATTATAATTAAGGCATTAAACAACAAATTAATCAATATGTTGTATTCATAACTGAAAACTGAAAGAACGATTGATCGACGCGGATTGCTGAAGAAATTTGGTACGTTAATGCGAGAGGATATTTGTTTTAAGAAAATGAAAATGGATGGTAACGTATGAGAGAGTATAATGTGCACTATTGAAGAGAATACTTTCTTGAAGGATTTTGACGTTGTTGAAGTATATGAATATTTCATATACAAATGATTTAACGGTGACAATACGAGAACTGTTCATTGTATAGGGTTATAACCGGTTGCAAAGATTGATAGATAAGTAGTGTTGGTTAGTTGTTGATTACCAAGTTCGGTTGCTTGCTTGATCATTGGTTCGTTCACAAAACGTGTTCATCAATATATACAAACAAATATATATATATATATAT